CCTGCTGGCCTGGTCGCTCCTAACTGCCCCACTTGCCAGCCTGGTCACCCCTAACTGCCCTCCTGACGGCATGATTGCCCCTCACGCCACCCCCCCCACCCCCCACTGGCCTGGTCGCCCCACACAGCCTGCTCTTCAGTTGTTTGGTAGTCCCTCACTAACCCCCTTGCCAGCCTGGTCGTAGGCAGCCATCTTGTGAGGGCATGATGGTCAATTGGCATATTACCTCTTTATTATATAGGATTATTATTACTGATTTCAGAGAGGAAGGGAGAGAGAGATAGAAACATCAATGATGAGAGAGAATCATTGATCGGCTGCCTCCTGCACACCCCACACTGGGGATAGAGGCTGCAACCCGTGTATATACCCAGACCAGAAATCAAACTGGTTCACAGGTTGATGCTCAACCACTGAGCCATGCCTGTTGGGCTGGATGTGGTCTTTAGGGAGCTCAGGGTCTAAGGACAAGTAGTCGTAATACGTATGATCATGACACACTCTGCATAGACCAAGAAGATGGGTACCTGGCCTATGGGAGGTGTTTGAGGCAGGCTCCCCAGAAAAGGTAATGTCTAAGCTAAGTCTTAAGCGAGAATTATTTTGGCCAATTATGGGAGTGGTGCAGAAGGGCTTTTCAAAAAGAAGAGAAGGGCACTCAGCTGGTGTGGCTCAATGGTTGGGCGTTGACCCAGGGTCACGGTTTGATTCCCAGTTGGGGCACATGCCTGGGTTGATCCCCAGTGTGGGGTGTATGGGAAGCTGTTTCTGCCTCTCCCTCCCTCTTCCTTCCTCTCTTTGAAATCAATAAAAATATATATATTTTTTAAAAGATTAAAAACAAAAAAAGAAACAAAGGGAAGAGAAAGGCGTTCACAAGAGCACCATGTGAGGCAGCACAGATGAAGAGCTGCAAGCAGCAGTGTATTGTGGGTGGGCCCACGTAGAGATGACAGATGAAGCTAAGCAAGCAGAGCCCTTGTTCACACTGAGAGCAACAAGGTCTCATTGCACGGTGATTCAGGGAGTAAACAACATCTGAAGTTACATTTAAGAAAGATCATGTAAATGAATGTTGGGAAATAGTGAATGATTTTCAAGAGTACATAAGTGGCCAAGAACTGTATGTTCCTTGAGATATCTACTGAAACCTGTAAAACAAAACATTCCATGGAAAAATAATTACAGAAGATAAATGTTCCTCTTGGTGATTTACAATATCCATTTAACTTTATATTCTCTGAGAAATCCTCAGTATAAATAACGTCTACATACATTAGGAAAATGCTGGGTTAAATATGTTTTTATGACACTTTTTATTTTCAGGGAATTTCTGTTCACTTCCATGGGACAGTTGGGGAAATGATAGCTTAGTCCAGTGGTCGGCAAACTCATTAGTCAACAGAGCCAAATATCAACAGTACAATGATTGAAATTTCTTTTGAGAGCCAAATTTTTTAAACTTAAACTATATAGGTAGGTACATTGTTATTAACTTAATTAGGGTACTCCTAAGCTGGCATTTGCTAAAAACGTCCTCAATCTGAGGGGTCAACCTCAGCGAACGTACCCCCACTTCTTCTAATGCCACTTCTTCAAAATAGACTCACCCAGGCCGAAAACCGACTTCTGCGCATGGGCCACGAAGTTTCAATTGCACTGTACGTGTGCGCCCACACGTGGTACTTTATGGAAGAGCCACACTCAAGGGGCCAAAGAGCCGCATGTGGCTGGCGAGCCGTGGTTTGCCGACCACTGGCTTAGTCAATGGATGTGGACTCCATCAATGAGCTGCAAAAGAAAGTATTTGGCCTCTGGTGCCAGAAGCCTTCTGTTCAAATCCTGACTCTGCTTTATAACCTTAGGCAAGTTACCTCACCTCTCTGTACCTCATTTTGAACTCATCTGCAAAAATGGAAATCACAATAGCACTAGTATTAAATAAGTTTACTTAGGTTGATATGGGGGAAATATTTTTAACATCAAAAACTATGCTCTTTCCCTAGCCAGTTTGGCCTAGTGGATAGAGCATCAACCTGCGGACTGAAGGGTCCCGGGTTCGATTCCAGTCAAGGGCACGTACCTAAGTTGCAGGCTGGATCCCTGGCCCTGGTCGGGGTGTGTGCAAGAGGCAACCAATCAATGTGTCTCACTCATCATTGATGTTTCTATCTCTCTCCCTCACCCTTTCTCTCTGAAATCAATAAAAATATGTATTTTTTAAAAATCATGCTCTTAGTATTACTGTGTGATACGATCCCTACATGTTCAGCTAATATACTATGGTCAATGTTATAACTTCTAGAATAGTTTCTGATTCATATGGAGAGAAAATCCACTTTCAGCAGAATTTTGAAAACCTTTGTTTCATTCATAAAATTTGCCAAACATGGTGAAAGACGAGTATTCTGTTTTTTCATGGTCACGGCCAATAGAAGTACACCAACCAAAAAGCAAAGATGAAAGCCACTGTGGTCTGCGCCATGAAAATACATCTATATTATCCTTAAGGAGGTTTCATCTGCAAAGGCGAGAACTTTAACAAAATTTGAATTAAAGCCAATACAAAAAAGCCTTGCTTATACTGCGAAAAACAAAAAGCCACTTGTAATTGGAATCCTAAGGAAGCCATGTGATCAAGAAGTGGTTCATGACTTGGAGCAAAGGACAACCGAAAGTATTATCCCTAAAGTGATTCTATTTCCTCCAGAATCACCGCTATTTCTTCTCATACAGTGAAGGAGGTCATGCGCCAGAAGTAAATGCTTATCTTTTATTTGCACCATTAAGATTTGGCAACAAATCAAATTGTATAGGAAAGCTTATGATAAAAGCATACACTTCCCTACCCTTGCTGTTTGCTTACTAGTTCATTTTTAGTTCTGTAGGTAGCTCCATCCCTTAACTAAGGGGTTCATATTGCTATATTTTTAACTTTTTATAAAGGAAAATGTTGAACACACAAAAAAATAGAATAGTATATTGACCCCCATGTACCCATCAACTATTGTCAACAATCACTATAATGTATAGAAATCAAAATTCATTTATAAACACTTCCCTACCCCCGATTATTTAAAAGCAAATCATTTTATCTGAAAATCCCATATATCTCTAAGAGGTAAGGGCTCCCTTTTTCCACAATAAAATGAAACATTTTATTACTTGACATTGTATTCTATTGATTTTTTTCCTTTTACTATGAAGTTTAATTTTTTCCCATGTTTTCTTGGTATAAAGGACATATAACATCATGTAAGTTTAAGTCATACAATATAATCACTTATTTTATTTATATATATACACACACATCTTTACATTTATTTTTATATATATATATATATATATATCTTCACTGATATATCTATATCTATATCTATACACACTAGTATATCTCTTTTTAAAAATAACAACACACCCAAAAACCTGGACCAATTTCCAGTGAATTATGCTGAGTGAAAAAAGCCAGTCCCAAAAGGTTACATAGTGTGTGATTTCATTTACATAACCTTTTTTTAAAAATATATTTTATTGATTTTTTACAGAGAGGAAGGAAGAGGGAGAGTTAGAAACATCGATGAGAGAGAAACATCGATCAGCTGCCTCCTGCACGCCCCCTACTGGTG